GTTTTCCCCTGGAAACAAACACAATACACACAAACGCAAAATCACACAAACACACACACGTATACACACACACACACACTCGCGAGCTTCCCCCAGACCAGTAATCCAAACGAAAATATCTTCCCTCCGTAGTATTTTGATCATTTGCTCCGCTAATAACCAATCAGATCGATCGAGAGAAGAGGAAACTTTGAAGGCCTTTTTCTCAAAATGTTGACTCGCTGACAGTCATTATATAATGTGACATATTTTGCTTAATATTTGGAGTACAACAACAATCCTGATATCAGTAGAAAGCTAGGAATCTCCTCTTTCCAACAGTGTATACAACTCAAAATATGTCTTCGGGTCAATGCGACTGATTTCGATGGAGCAGGTCACATATGTGTTTGACACACTTTTACTCGCTTGATGATGATGATGATGATGATGATGATGATAATAATACATTGATCACCATTCATCATGCAGCCACAGCATTTTCTCCGTCCGAGTCCTGCACGTCAACCCAGAAGCAGATTCAGCCAAGTCCATGCACATCAGCGAGTAAGTTGAGATACTCCCTCTTAGTTTCAGCTTTGGTTGATTTTTTTGTTATATTGTTTTTGGAAATGCAATAACACTCTGCTGTTTCTTTCAGACTGAGTGTGTGTGATCTAGCTGGGTCTGAACGCTGTAAAGAGCAGCGCAACGGCGAGAGGATGAAGGAGGCCAACAACATCAACGCCTCCCTTCTAACACTGGGACGCTGCATCGCTGCTCTGAGGCACAACCAGAACAACAAGTACGTGTTTAACCATAACTTGGAAAGAAAGTTAATCACTCAGTTGATGTGGTGTACTAAATTAAAAAAATATATACATACAAATCCTCATCCAGTAAGTGGACCCTTGAAATAGACGTGCTTCACATGCATTGATGTTGTTTTCTAATCGTGAGATATTGAAATGAGCTGTTTGACAAAGAGCCATAATTAAAAACGTTCCTGCGTTTCCACAGATCGCGACCCGCTCAAGTGGTGCCCTTCAGGGACAGTAAACTGACCCGGGTACTGCAGGGTTTCTTCTGTGGCCGAGGAACCTCCAGCATGGTGGTCAACATCAACCCGTGTGCCTCCATCTATGACGAGACCCTCCAGGCCCTCAAATTCTCAGCTCTAGCCTCTCAAGTAAAAACTTTTCTTAACGTCTGTGAATTTTCGAGACAGATTTAATTTTGCATGTCAAAAATAGCACGAAAGAAAAAGAAACATTACGTCATCATATCATTTCAGCTGGTGCACGGGCCGTCCACAAAGACCAGGGTGGCCTACATCCTGTCCTTACTGCGCGAGCCGGCTGCAGATGGAAACGAGAGTTCGATGATGGAGGACGAGGAGGAGAGTGATGTGGAAGATGGAGATATCTCCATGTTGAATACCGAGGTAACAGCCTTTGCCCTCATTTTCAACATCTAATTATTGAACTATAACCAAAATGTTTTGCATATTGAGATGAACACCTAGATGAGGCCTTTTGAGATCAACTCAAACCAGCATGTCAAATGTCTCAATAACATTTTCTAACAGCTGACTGTGCTTTATTTAGTCCATGCTGCAGGCCATCGATGTCCTGAAGAGAGAAGTGCAGCGCCAGCGGGAAGAGAAAGAGGTTCTTGAGGTGAATGTGAGAGAGCAGGTGGTCTCTGAGGTGATGGAGGTCATCTCGGGGATGGAAGCTGGCTTCAGGTATGTGTCTGCCTTTAAGAGTGAAATCAACATTGTAACTGAAATTGCTAGAAATTGTTTTGTGGGATAATTTAAGAACACCATAAATGAATTCCATTCAAAGATTTGATCAAAGAGATTGCCCCCAAAAGAAGCTGAAGTATTAAAATGCTGAGAAAATGCATTCATGTTTAACCACGGTAGACGATAAGTTTGGATTTCTTGTCCTACAGCGAGGCCTTGGAAGCAGAGAGAGCTCTCACTGAAGAGAGATACGAAGACAAGATATCAACTTTGCAAAAACATTTGAAGATATTCTACGGCAAGGAGTTGAAGGTGAGAGCTAAATCACTTCAACAGTGTCTGTCCCTGTAGCATTGTTTCAATACACACATGATCTGTAAAGAAATGGTCTCAGGGTGTATATGTTGGAAATCATGTTGCTGTTCCTCTGCAAAAATATTCCTCTAATTGTTTTCTTTTCATCTAGGAGCGTGATCAGGTGATCGAATGTTTGTCTGCTGCTCTTGAGAAAACCAAGGCAGGCGAAGCGGCCCCCCCGCCGCTGCCTGCTGAGGACTCCATAGGATGCAGCGGTGGCCTACTTCGGCGTTCTGAGCGCATCAATAAAACAGAAAGTGGTCGGCTGCAAGTGGAGCTGGACCAGTGTCGCGCTGAGCTGCTCGCAAAGACACAAGGTGACTGAAACACTGCCCTGTGACGACGTGCTGATGTTAGGGTCTTGTTCATAGTGGTGTGTAACTCTCTTGTTCTGTTGTCCTGTGCAGAGCTCAACAAAGCTGAAGAACGCAGCTGGAAGCCCCCGGCTCAACTGGGACCCTCGCCCGCTGACCGCAAGCTGGGAGACGGGCAGCGGGGTCAGTTAACGCTTTAACATGGAATGCATTAGGATTTTGCTGCATGTGAGACTGTTATCTCAAACACACTCAAATTCTGAACTTTTATTCTCACAGAACCTGCGGCAGCTGCGGCCCTGGATCTGCAGCGCTCGGGCCCGGACCTGCAGTCTGGAGAACGAGTACCTGCTGAGTGTTCGCGAAAGCACGGTGGACGGAGAAGCCTGCGGTCAGGCGCTGGCCGCTGCATGACCAAGCAACGCTGGCCAACAGGTAGGCAGGCACAGATCATTGGATCGTAAGACAGTTTTGAAAACCTTCTTATTTCTATTCACTTTACATGTTTATCATTTGAACGTGTTGAGTGTAGGCCTTCTGTAAAGCTATGCACAATACATCAATGCACATTGTGTAGAACCACAGTTCAAATATGTGGTTGATAGTGTCTTGTCAGGTTTTAGTGCAAGTGGATTCAACTGCCAAAGCCTAGATCGAATTAATCAAACTATTTAACTGTGTGTTCTTTATTTTATTTTTAAGCTGACAGAAGAGACTTTACTCCGTACACTCTGAAAAACCTTAAAACGCACGAATCTTTTACCCCCTGTACTGTGACATTTTAAGTTAGAGCAGAATCTCACTGCAATAATCAACTCGTTATCCAGATATAAGGTGTATGTGAAGAGTCTCGTCGCGTATATAGTGGACAGTGAATAGATTGGGGCATCTGAAAGCTGGATCTGTTTTTAATTGTATTTCTGATTTGCAAAACGT